ATGGAAAAATGTCCTCGAGCGAGGATAAAAAAAAAAATGCAATTATAGTAGGGGAGTTTATGAATACCCCACAGACATAATGGATAAATCATCCAAACAGAAAGTCAATAAAAAAATATCATCTTGCCCTGGCCAGTTTGGCTCAGCAGTTACAGCATCTGCCCACGGACCGGAGAGTCGCATGTTTAATTCCGATCAGGGGCACGTACCTCAGTTACGGTTTGTCCCTGGCCCTGGTTGGGGTTGTGTGGGAGGCGGCCAGTCGATGTGTCTCTCTCACGTCAATGTTTCTCTTTCTCTCCCTCCCTCCCACTCTGTTTGAGGATAGATGGAAAAATATCCTCCAGTGAAGATTTTAAAAAATTTATCTATCTAATCTATTGATCATCTATCGATCTATCATCTGTCATCCATCCATCTATCCATCCATCCAACCATCCATCCATCCATCCATCCATCTCAACCTTGCCCTGGCCAGTATGGCTCATCAGTAAGAGTATCAGCCCAAGGACCAAAGGGTCACAGGTTTGATTCCCAGTCAAGGGCATGTACCTGGGTTTCAGGATCAATCTCTGGCCCCAGTTATGCGGGTGGCAACCAATCAATGTCTCTCCCCCACCCCTTCCACTCTCTAAAAATTCAATGGGAAATTATTCTTGGGTGAAGATTAACAACAACAACAACAAATTGGCCTTAAATGACACATTAGACCAAATGAACATAATATTTATAGAACTTTACATGTCAAAACGACAGAATATACATTCATCTCAAGTACACAAGGAACATTCTCAGGGACAGACCACATGTTGGGGCACAAAACTAGTCTCAATAAAATTTTAGAATATTGAAATCATATCAAGCATATTTCCCAACCCAAGAGTATAAAACTAGAAATTAACTACAATAAGCTGAAAAAACCACATACATGTGAAAATTAAATGACAAGTTACACCCAGCCGGTGTGGCTCAGTGGTTGAGCATCGACCCATGCACCAAGAGGGTGCCAGTTCAATTCCCGGTCAGGACACATGCCCAGGTTGTGGGCCCAGTCCCCAGTGAGGGGCATGCAAGAGATGGCCAGTCAATGTTCTCTCTCATCAATGTTTCTCTTTCTTTCTCCCTCTCCCTTCCTTTCTCTCTAAAATCAATAAAGGAAAAAAAAAAAATGATATGCTACTTGCCCTGCCCAGTTTGGCTTAGCAATTAGAGTGTCAGCCCTCAGACCGAAAGGTTGCAGGTTTGATCCCTGACCCCTATTGGGGTTATGTGGGAGGAAACTATGGAAACAAATGGAAAAATGGAAAAATGTCCTTGGGTGAGGATTAATAACAACAGAAACACCCTACTGAACAATCACTAGGTCAAAGAAGAAATAAGAGATCAAAAGAGAAAGACAAATGAAAATGACAATATGACATGCCAAAATTTGGGGGATGCAGCAGAATGGCACTAAAAAGTATGTTAGAGCATTGCAGGCCTACCTCAAGAATCTCAAATAATCTAACATTACACCTTAAAGAACTAGAACAATAACAAAGTCAATAGAAGAAAGGAAATAATAAAACTTAGAGTGAAAATAAATGAAATAGAAAACAAAAAGAACTATAATAAAACTGATAAACTTCTGGCTAGACTAAGTGGAAAAGAGAAAACTCAATAAAATCCTAAATGAAAGAGTAGTTACAATGAATACAACAGAAATACAAAGCACTATACAAGAATACTATGAAAAATTACATGCCACCAAATTCGATGACCTAGAAGTAGATACATTCTTAAAAATATATAAACTTCCTAGACTGAATGATGCAGAACTGGAAAACCTAAATATACTGATCACTACTAACAAAATTGAAACAGTGATCAACCCCTCCCCGCCAACAAAAGCCCAGGACCAGATGGCTCCACTAGGAATTCTATCCAAACAGTCAGAGAATCTTTAATGTCTAAACTTCTCAAATTGAAGAGGGAAAACTTCCTGACTCGTTTCATGAGGCCAACACCACCGACATGAAAATCAGGCAAGGACAACACAGAAAAAGAAAACTACAGGCTAATACCTCTGATGAGCATAGATGCAAAAATCCTAGCAAATCAAATATAACAAAACATCAAAAGATCATATACATCATAATTAATGGGGTTCATTCCTGGGACAGGATGGCTCGACACATGCAAATCAATCAATGTGATATACTACATTTCCAAAATAAAAGTCATATGATCATATTAACAGATAGAGTAAAAGCAATTGACAAGATGCAACATCCATTAATGATTAAAACACTCAAGCCCTGGCCAGTTTTGCTCAGTGGTTAGAGCATCGGCCAGCAGACCAATGTGTCGCGGGTGCGATTCTGGTTAAGGACACATATCTCAGCTGTGATTCATCCCCAGCCTTGGTTGGGGTCATGTGGGAAGCAACCACTCGATGATTGTCCCTCTCACATCAATGATTTTTTCTCTCACTCTCCCTTCCCTCTCTCTCCCACTCTATCTGAACAAAAATGGAAAAATATCCTTGGGTAAGGATAAAAAAAAAAAAAGAAAACACTCAATAAAATGGATATAGAAGGAAAGTATCTCACATAATAAAGGCCACTTTAAAAAAAATTTTTTTTTCTTCTTCACTGATCTTAGAGACAGAAACATCAATGAGAGAGAACATTGACTGGCTGCCTCCTGCTTGCCCCCCACTGGGGATTGGGCCCACAACCTGGGCATGTGCCCTGACTGAGAATTGAACTGGTGACCTCCTGATGCATGGGTCGACACTCAACCACTGAGCTACACCAGCCAGACTAAAGGCCACTTCTGACAAACCCTCAGCTAATATCATACTCAATGGTGGAAAACTGATAGCTTTTCTTCTAAGATGAGGAACAAGACAAGGATGTCCTCTCTCACCTCACCACTATTATTCAACAGAGTACATACTAGAAGTCCTAGCCAGAGCAATTAGGCAGGAAAAAGAAAAGCATCCAAACTGGGAAGTAGTAAAACTGTCACTATTTACAGATGACATGACACCATATGTAAAAAACCCTAAAGATACCATCATAAGATTATTAGAAATAATAAAAACAGTGAAGTTGCAGGATATCAAATCAATACACATGTGAACATCCGATTTATGAGAGAAGGCATTGCAGAGAGGAGGAGAAGGATATGCTACTCAGTATGTAGAACTTGAACACCTGATTATCCATTTGGGGAAAAATAAAGGAAAATGAGTAGTGTTCACACACATCAATTTCTGGTGGGTTAGACGTTTAAATGTGTATGCACGTGTGTGTGTATGTGTGCAGATAGATAATGTAGACAAATGTTTTCATGACCATAGGACAGAGGATTAAGAAAGACACAAAAAACAAGCCATAAAAAAATATTTGATAAGTCTGACTGAAGAAAAATTGAGTGAATCCTTATCAAAAGACACAATAAGTAGAATAAGCTCAACAACCAATTGAGAGAATTTTTTTGCAACACATTTATCCTATAAATGATTAGAATCTAGGATAAAGAATTCTTATAAATAAATAAGAAAAAGACAAACAATGGAAAAAAAGGGTAAAGACATATACAGGCATTTCCCAGAAGAGAAAACATCAACATCAACATGCAAAAAGACACTCAATCTCATTAGTGAACAGTAAAATACAAATTAAAAAAAAATAACTTTGACCTTAATTTAAATGTCATACCTTATAGAAAAATTAACTGAAAATGGATCAGAGACTTAAAAATGTAAAACAAATCGCCCAGCCAGTGTGGTTCAGTGGTTGAGCATCAATCCATGCACCAAGAGGTAGCCGGTTCGATTCCGGGTCAGGGCACATGCCCAGGTTGTGGGCCAAACCTCCAGTGGGGGGCATGCAGGAGGTGGCCAATCGATATTTTCTCTCATTGATGTTTCGATCTCTCTCTCCCTCCTTCTCTCCCTCTAAAAAGAAAGAAAGAAAAAAAATAAATCAAATCTATAAAGTTTAGGGAAAAAAATCACAGGAGACAATCTTCAGGATCTAGCAGGAGGTAAAGAATTCTTAGCCAAGCCCTGGCCAGTTTGGCTCAGCGGTTACAGCATCGGCCTGCGGTCCAGAGAGACCCAGGTTTGGTTCCCGCTAGGGGCGCATACCTCGGTTGCAGTTTGTCCCCGGCCCTGCTTTGGCTCAGTGGTTAGTGTTGGCCCTTGGACTAAAGGTTTTTAGGTTCGATTCCTGGTCAAGGGCACATACTTAGGATGCAGGTTCGATCCCCAGCCCTGGTCGGGGTCATACAGGAGGCAACCAATTGATATGTCTCTCTCACAATGATATTTCTCTCTCTCTCTCTCCCTCCTTCCCTTCTACTCTATCTAAAAAAAAAATCGATGGAAAAATATCCTCGGGTGAGGATTAAAAAAAAAGAAAGAAAAAAAGGTCTGTAAACTGGACTTTATCAAAATTAAAAACATTTGCTCCGTAAAATATCCTGTTTAGAGGATAAAAAAATAAGCTATTCATAAACCAAAACTTTGACAAAGGACTAGTATTCAGATTACATATTAAGAACTCTTAAAACTCAACAGTAAAAAATTAAACAATTAGAAAATGGACAAAACACATGAACAGGTATCTCATGAAGTAAGAGCATGAAAAGATATACATTAGCCATTATGTTAATGCAAATGAAAGCCACAATGAGATGTCACTATGTATCTACCAGAATGGCTAAAATTAAAAAGTTACAATAGAACTGGGAGAAACTGGGTCACTCACACATTGCTTGTGGGGATACAAAATGGTCCAGCCAATCTGGAAGTTTGTCAGGTTTTTTTTTTCTTTTAAATATGTTGTTATTGTTTTCTTAGAGAGAGAGGAAGGGAGAGATAGAAACATCCATATGATAGGGAAACATTGATCAGCTGCCTCCTGCACGCCCCCTACTGGGGATCGAGCCCAAAACCTAGGCATGTGTCCTAACTGGGAATCGAACCGGGACCTCTCAGTCCATGGTGCGACACTCAATCCACTGAGCCACAACAGCTGGGCAAGTTTGTCAGTTTTTAAAAACAAAACATGCAATGACCATATAATCTAGTGAATGTACTACTGGACATTTATTTCAGAGAAAGAAACCAATGTTTACACAAAAACCTGTAATGAATGTTCATAGCAGCTTTATTTGGGATAGCCAAAAACTGGAAACCACGTAGATGTCCTTAACTAAAACAATGAGCACACCACAGAACACCATGCAACCACCAAAAGGGACGAACTGTGGACACGCGCAACTGGACGAATCTCCAGAGTATATGCTGAGAAAAGCCAATCCCAAATTGTTACATACTATATGATCCCATTTATACAACATTCTTGAAATGATTGCATTAGAGAGATGACAAACATCAATGGTCATACTATATGATCCCATTTATACAACATTCTTGAAATGATTGCATTAGAGAGATGACAAACATCAATGGTTGCCAGGGATTAGGGATGGCAGCCAGAGGGAGTGGGTGTGGCTCTAAAAGGGGAGTTGGAAGGAGATTCTGATGGTGATGGGACAGTGTGTCTAGACTGTAGTGGTGGTTACACAAAGCTACACGAGAAGATGACATATAACTACACACCCTCACTGCCCAGTGTCCAGGTCCTGGTTTGATACTTTATTATAACTAAGTAAGATGTAACCACTGAGGAAAACAGGATGATGGGTATCTCTATCTTTGCAACTTCCTATGCGTCTGTGATTATTTCAAAACAAACAGAAAAAACAATAGCTTTCATTGCAAACTGGTATCCTGGAATGGCTCCTGCAACTGAAAAAGGACATTAGAAAAACTGGTAAAATGCATATAAAGTATAATCTAGTTATTTTTGTACCAGTGTTAATCTTTTAATTTTGATAAATGTACCTAGGTGACGTAAGATGTTAATAGTAGGGGAAGCTAGATGAAGGGTACATGAAACACTTCTGTGACTCTAAAATAATTTCAGAAAGTAAAATCCTGATGCTCAGACCAATATATCCTACCTGGGGATGGGCCCCAGGTATCAGAATTTTTAATTTTCCAGGTGATTCTAATGTGCAACCAAGGTGAAGAACTACTGTTCTGGAAAGAACTGCTTTGGAAGTATAGTAAGTCTTCACTTAATGTCCTCAATAGCAAGTTAGGTTCCTAGGACAGCTCATCAGCATTGCAACAACACAGTGATGAGACATTATTCAAGGCCTGCTGCATCTGTTTCCCACATGGGGTTTTGCTCTTGGAGTGAATTCCTCGAGAACAACTTATCAGCAAGCAGCCCACTGTTCGAACTTCATCCCTGTTGATTCCAGATAGAACCCAAATTCCTTTGAGAAAGGTTCCAGAAATCCTCCACTTCACCTACCCAATCTAAGATCCCAGGTTCCTGTGATGCCCATTTCTACACAGCAAAGAACTGTGGCCGGTAAACAGAGGTAAACTGGAAGAAAAAACACCTTCTTGTTCCCGATTCTCTAAAATCCTGTAGCTAGGGACAGGAAACAGAAAGACCTTGAGATGTTTAAGAGATATAGAAAACTCTAATTTCATGTTCTTTTTTTTTTTAAAGAAAGATAATGGTGATCTACCTGGTCCTTATCCAAGCCTTCCTTCCCTTGCGCTCTGCCCGCGCTCACAGCTATACAATCCTGACCGAAGACTAGGAGGACGGTGTGAAACTGGTCTAATAGTTGGTTACTCTTCCTGGGACCTGACAATGAAAAAAGTATTAGGTGCAGCAGAGCCCTCCCTCTCATACGTAACCTTCTTTAAACTACAGAAAAGTGACAATACTGTTAATGGCCACGAAGCAGGAGAGGCAGAGGCGCAGCATGAGGAGCACGCCTCAGTCCCCAGGGGGCCAGCTGAATTGCTCGGGCTCTGGAAGGCTAGACAGCCACCTCCACAGGAGGGAGCAGGACTAGTGCACAGACTAGGGAGGACCTGTGCTTCCAGATCTGGCACACAGGACAGGCTGGGACGTGCTCTTAAACATGGCACCATCAGGGAAACCACAAAGTTCGCCATGGCCAAGGCCATGGATTTGAACCCCCAGTCAGAACTCTTGATTTGCTTAGAAAGTGCTGCCAGCAGCAGGTTGGCAGATTAGAAGCAAAGCGAGTACAGGTCACAGCCACACAAAGGCAGCCATCGTGCACTCACAGCATGGCCCGGCCTGGAGAGGTGCAGGCACAGCAGTCACAGGGAGGAGATGACGCTGCTGCTCCCACTCCCTTCAGAAGCAGGCCTGGAGGGCTGTGCCCCGCTGACCCCCATTCCTGAAGGAGGCAGGACCTGCTGAAGGCTCCCGGCACTGACGGCTGGCCCCGAGAACCCTGGACCCACATCTCTAAGGGCCATCTAAAACGTGGCCTGGAGGGGTGAGGACCGGCTGGCAGGAAGCTACTCCGAGGCTGGGCTCTCTCCAGTCCCCATGTGCTTGTCTATTCCCCAGACCTGGGGCAGCCTGGCAAGCAGTTAGACTCCTGGGTTCCGCCCAGGGCTCTCCTCCGCTGGGAGGCCAGGTCTGTCGTGGTTGGACGCTGGAGGAGAAAGGAAAGGAGAATTACTATCACAGACAGTCAAGTGTGATAATCCTCTTCCTCTTCAGGACAGAAGGGACAGGTCAGGACAGCTCAAGAGGTGCCAAGGCAGACCTGGGAGGGGTTAGGACAAGGGTCAGCCTGACTCCGACTCTGAGACACCACTCTGAGTACAGGCATCCTATTGAGGCAGGAGGGCAGTGGCTGGGGTTCTGCCTCGGCCGTAACACTGGGCAAGGGGAGCCTGGAAGGGAGCTTTAGTTTCCAAAGCTGGGCAGGTATTCCATGAGTCTATCTTCTAGGAAAATGAAATAAACGGTAGCGAGAAGGGACAGAAGGGCCCATGCACCCCCATGGCGAAATGTCTTCCAAGCCAGGGAAGCAGTTTCTGTGCTCCTCCCAGCAGCTAAAGGGCTGGGAAGGAGAGCAAAGGGAAAAGAAAGAGAAGATATTTACCTTGGGTGTTTTCTTAAAACAAAAAACGCTCACTAATCCAGTCAATTATCAACTGTAGTTTCCAAATGTGCCAAAGGAAATGTCTACTGGGCAGGCTGGAGAGAGCAGAGAGAGAGAGAGGAGGAGACAAGCTATTGAGCCGAACCTGAAGAGCCTCTGGCCACAGCCCCGAGGAGACCGACATCTGCCGGCAGGAGCGCCAAGGCAGAGGCACCGGCTGTTCGGAACAAAGGACCAGGGAACACTGAGTCTTCAGAGAACTTTCCCTGGAAAATCTAGTTCCGTGAACGCTCCACGTGGAAGAGTTGCTCCAAATTTGAAATGGCAGGTCAGGGATCAGAGAACCATTACTGCAAGGGCTGATATTTTTAGAGTTTGCAGGTCACATGGTCACTGTGACAATTTGACTCCACTACTGTAGCTCAAAGGCAGCCACATACAACCCGTGAACAAACAGGTGGCTCCCAATAAAACTTCATTTATACCCTGGTCAGTGTGGCTCAGTTGGTTGGGCATTGTCTCGAGCACCAAGAGGTCGCATGTTTGATTCCCGGTCAGAGTACATGCCTGGCTCAATCCCCAATATGGGGGGGGGGGGGGGGATGTAGGAGACAGCCCACTGATGTCTCTCATTGATATTTCTCTCTCAAGTCAATAAAAACACTTTAAAAAAAAACAAAACCTTTCTTTACAACAACAGACTGCAGGCCAAATCCAGCCCTTTGTCCACTTTGCCAAATCTGCAATAGGCAGTCAAAAATCATCACGCCTTTTAGCGTGTTCTCTGCTGGGGGGACCGTGCCAAGGTCACCCGGGAGTGGTTCTGACCTATAATCCTGAAGAGTCTACAGTGACCCTCCACGCGTGGAGTGACAGAGTCCAGGGTACCAGACTGCAATGAGATGCCAGAGAGCAAAGGCCAGGAGCAGAAAGACAGTGAGCAAGCCTCACAAGGGCAGATGTCAGGTTGAATTTAGGAGGACAGCCCACATTATGACTACAAACCAGGACAGTAATCTGTTACAAAGGGGAAATGACCCACGGAGTCACTGTAAATTACCCCCTTAGAGGACTGCCCAATGAGCAGCTGAAACCAAAAAAGGATTTTAAAAAACTCTGGGTATCTAGTAAAAGATGAAATGAAGAGAAAACTATAGTTCTTAGATTTAAGTCTATACCCTGAACATGACACATGCAGTCTGAGTAGCAGACGGAGCTAGGAAAGGTTCCCATGAGAGAAAACCAAAACCAAAAGGCTCCCGTAAAAAAAGTCTTGGCTTCTGAGACCCAAGTCTAGTGTGACTGTATAAACAAGGGGATGTCACAAAATCAAAGATCACAGGAGTGTCACCAGCCTCAGAAGGTGGCGTAGATGTTCATTTGGAAGGGGCACTGGGCGGCCCACATGCAGGACTGAAGCAGTATACCCCACCCAGGGTCCCCATTTCCCAACATCCAGAGATGGGACACTAAGCTAAGCCACCAGCGTGGCCCAGCATGGGCTCGCTGTCCCTTGCACCTGTACATCACCTCTCAGAAAGTACTCTTCTGCTCTAAGAACACATCTGTATTCACAAGCACAGGTCTGAGCAAGCAGAGCTGCTCCCTGTGAGGCACCACAGCCCCAAGGCCAAGAGCACTAACAGGCTCCAAGCCAGAGTGTTTCAGTCTGTCTCTGCCTCCAATTCTTCACCTGGAAATTGGGCATAACAGCTACCCCTCTGAAACCTCAGGGAGGTGGTCTTAGATGAGTCAGGACAAGGAAAGATCTGAGCACAGTGCCCACAGTGCCACAGAGTAAGTGTTCACTGAGAGCTGTGTCCCCACTGCTGCATTTCCTCCCACAGTCTCTCAGGGAGCCCTAGGAGGAGGTCGGAGTAAACAAGTCTTCTTTTATTATTTTCTCAATCCTCATCCAAGGATAATTTCCCACTGATTTTTTAGATAGAGTGGAAGGGAAGGAGGGAGAGAAACATCGATGTGAGAGATACATCTATTGGTTACCTCCCGCACGACCTAGACTAGGGCAGGGGACTGAACCCAAAACCCAAGCACATTCCCTTGATGGGGAACCGAACCCTCGATCCCTTGGTCTGAGGGCCGACAGCTCCAACTGCTAAACCAAACCAGCCAGGGCTAAAAGAACCATTTTGATTAACAAGAACAAGAAGGTTCCAGACGACGACCACTCCTCTCCAAAGGCTCCTCTGCAGCCTCCCTCCTTACCCCAGGAGGGTGGGTGTGCCATCTCACATCACAAAGGCTATGCCTTCCAACACAAGCTTCCTGCACACAGTGGAGCCCAGGAGTGGAGATCTGGGCATGCTTTAAACATGAGTGTCACCGCCCTGGCCGATTTAGCTCAGCGGTAGAGTGTCGGCCCATGGACCAATGAGTCGCAGGTTCAACACCTCAGTTGTGGTTCGTTCCCAGCCCGGGTCGGGGTCATGAGGGAGGCAACCAGTTCATGTGTCCCTCTCTCGTCAATGTTTCTTTCTCTCCCTCCCACTCTATCTGAAGATAAATAGAAAAATATCTTCAGGTGAGGATTAAAAAATAAATAAATATAAGCATCACCTAACTACAGGCCTCAGGGGCCCTTTCTAGCTGGGATGGTTCCTACCAGCCATCTACCTTCTGAGCCGGGCCCACTGGTGTCCCAAATCTTCATTTTCCAGGTGACCTAACCCTAATCCTAAATGGTCAAGTCTGAAATTTATCTTATTCTCATTTAACAACTATTCTCTAATTAAGGCAACCATTCTAACAACAAGCTCTCAAGAGAAAATGCTGACTTCATACACTTAAGTACCTGCCGGTTATATAGCTCAGTATCATGTGAGCTATTAAAAGCTGCAAGGAGAGAGGCTGGGGAGGAAAAGGGAGGAAAAAGGATGCAGGGCACAGTGAGGGCAGAGAGAGCAACTCTGCGTATGCTAGCAGCAAGGACCTGGAAGGCCACGCTTTCTGGGATGTGGCCACATAGGGCTCACCTGCTGCTGTGACTGTCCTATCACTGAGGAGCCTGGTCTGGCTGCCTGGGATGACCTGGAGGTCCAAGTTGTCAGGGGATGGTGGCAGGTTCTGGGCTCGGGTAGCCAGGAGTGCATTGAGGTACTGCAGCCGCGTGACCTGTAGGACAGAGCGCACTACTAGGCAGGTGAAGCGCGTGGTCATACCACCCTCCTGCACACAAGCACCTGAACCAGGTGGGAGAGTCACACTGAGCAAGACAAAGAGAAAGGAACAGTGGGAAGAACCGCAGGCTAGCTAAGGGCAATCAAGCAAAGTGTCTTTAAAATCTCAGAAGGAAACTGGGTGCCTAGGCCCAGAGACGAGACCAGACAGAAGTAGTCAGAGACCTCTGGGGAGCCAAGGCTATTGCCCTGCAGAGCAAGTTCAAGGTTTGCTATGAAACATCTCAGACTGACCCACTGAAACTTAATCTCAATCCACACAAACTGGTGACCAGAAGGTCTAGCCCTCTGGGGAACACAAAGCAGGTTAGAAGCCAGCACCCGTGAACAGTCCAAACCTTGATGAACTGCAGGTCAGAGAGGGCCCTCACAGTGTAGTCAGGACGATATGTGGACAAGCGGGTGCCGTCAGCTGGTTCGGGCTGCAGGTCATGGCGGAGGGACTGGAGCGAGGACACTGGGGACTGGTGAACTATTGAGAGGAACAATGAGTGATGAGGAAGCTGTGCTGGGAGCTGGGCATCCCCACCCTGGTGGGGACAAATGCACAGCCTCTAAGACCCACCCCACAATCACAATGGGGAATGGACTAGGGCCAGAAACTTTGGAGAACTGGCAAACAAGCTTCCTCCAGGGAAAGGTTTTTCAGGGATGGGAGTGAGAAGCAAAGATGAGCCCTGAAAAAATGCTGCCCCTTCCCACTGCTCAACCCCGAGAGTAGAAAATCCAGCAGGTCCTGAAGCAGACCACCTTGCAGGAGGCTGAGCACTAGAAGAAGTAAAGGGCAGAATCCTGGCCCTGGGGCCCCAGCCACAGCAGAGGGAGAAGCCCGCGCTGGTCCAGCCTTCACTCGGAAGGTGTGTAGCTTACCTGAGGACGGCGCCGTCAGGGCAGACACGCCATAGTAGGTGAAGGCCCCATTCTCAAACTTCAGGCCTTCCTTCCCAATCTCCACCTCAACCCTGCCCTGGGAGGTGGAGAGAAACAGGTGTGTACACATGACCTTTCCTGCCAGGAGGAAGCACAAACAGAAAGCACCCGCTCTGACTGTGCAGGGTGTCTCTAAATGTGCCTCCCTCTCTCAGACCCTTCCCTGCTTTCCGGTCAGGTGGGGGCCTGGCTCAGGCTCCTGGTTACCTGCAGGATGAGGATGAAGTAATCCACCGGCTGGCTGCGCTGGTACAGGTAATGGTGTGCAGCCAGGCGGTTGCTCTCGTCAAACCTCACCTCCTGGTTGACGCTGGGGTGCCTCAGCAGGTGCAACAGGACCTTCTCGGAGATTCGCAATGGGCTGAACACATCTACCTCTGCCCATGGCAGAGAGAAGAGACAGTGTCCGCTGGGCCCTCAGCGGCCTGCATCACCAAACTGAGGCCTGCTGCCCACCTGGATTCTCCTGGCTGGCCCTCGAGACGAGTCCCCTCCCCAACACAAGAGGACTGGGCAGCCACATACACTGCCAGCCAAGGCTTCCTGGCCGAGACTCGCCACAAGTGGCACCAGCCTGGCCCTGGCTTTTGGTTGTTTGGCAGAGAGCAGGTGCCCCCTTGGGTGACCTGAGAGTATCCAGAAGAGTGTGTCTGCTGGCAGGGCAGCCAGGGAAGCACAAAGGCTCTCTTGGACACCCTCCTGCTTACTGGGGACAGGAGCGGTCAGTGTCTGCCCTGGGGGTCTCCTGACCCGCTGGACAGTAAGCAAGAGAGTGGGGACAAGGCCCACCCTTCACCCTCACCTCGGGAAAGGAAGCGCTGGGTGGCCAAGAGCAGCTGAGGCGAGATTTTCACTTTATACTCATCGTCAGACACCTTGAACAAGGAGAATTCCTCTTTCCGCCTGAGAGGGGCACTGAGAGAAGCAGGCTTCTTCCTCACTGTGGTGTCTCCTGGGATGGTGAGCACAAGGTGGCTTAGGAACCAGCAGCCCTCCCAGCAACATGACTAAACCAAGGAGCTTGTTGCCCACACCCCCTCCACAAGCCTGGGAGCTCCTGGGAGACACCTCAGAGCCCCAGGGACCCATCCTTGGTCCCTGGATGGTGCCCAGGACAGAGGGGCAGCGCCCCACACTGCAGCCACACCCGAAGAAGTAGCAGAAGAGACTCTCTCCTTGGAGTCGGGAGATGATGCTGACATGACAGAAAGAGGCAGCACTGTGGTCACTAGAAGACCACATGCCAGAAAGCAGGCACTAGAGGATCCCTGGTGCTCCATGGTGGCAGCTAACCTAGCAGCCCTGTGCCTGGGGCAGTCCAAGGTATGCAACTAAAGATGCTGCATTGTGGGACTCATGCATGGGCAGAGCAGTTCACCTGACAGCACACATGGGTGGGTGGCCCAGTGTCCCAAGTGCCATGAGAGGCCCAGTCATCAAGCATGAGTTCTATGCCCACTCTGCAGACCTCAGCCACCATGCCAAGAGGCAGATGCTTCTAAGACACCACCACGGGCCCCAGGGACACATTCTAGGAAGACCCTCTTAGTAAAGAACTGGTTCTTTAAGGAGACACTTCTGTACAAACCACATGAGAAGCAAAAGGTGTGAGGAGTCTGGGAAATGCCCATTAAGGACAGATGTCTGTCAGTGATGGAGGAAACAAGCGGAGCCCCAAGCAAGCGCTGGGACTGCAAGGCCACCAATGGATAGGCCGCCACAGCTCTGCATCCAGGTGCAGGGGTGGGCCCTCCTGTACGGGCAACACTGATTCACGCAGGGGCAAGAAGAACAGAGGTAGCAGCTCTATCCAGAGACCCATCACCCCCTGAAACAAACACACACATACATCTCAGTGAGCCTAAAAGAGCAGCTGAGCCAGAAAACTGCCAGGAGGTAAGACTCACGGTAGTCCTCAGACTCGTCCAGGATCTCGGACTTGATGACCTCCTCAATGACATCCTCCAGGGTGATCAGGCCCAGGACCTCGTAGAAGGGGTCCCCTTCACCCTCGTTGTTCACCTTCTGCACAATGGCCAGGTGGGACTTCCCTGAGAGAGGGAACGTGCCTGTTACTGTGTGACAGAGGCTCCCACATTTCTAGGTCCCATCCTGCACAGGCCCACCAAAAGGACAGACACTAATGTTTGTGTTCCTACAACACACCTTGCAAGCGCTAGGCATGACTTTTCTGGGTTCTTACTGAAGATTCTCAACATTCACAGGAGGACTGGCCTCGCCTTACATGCGAGGAACCTAAACCCCAGACACTGCTTTCACCCACACAGGCCGAGGCAGAGCTGGAGTCAGCCCCGGGTCTGTGTGGCTCCAAGTCATGCATGTGGCTTAGACATGGGCGCATCAGACAAACTGTGGACATAAGGCGCACACTCCAGAAATGCAGGTTCCCTGGGAACCGTCTAAGTGGGGGAGCCAAGAGAGGCCCTCCAGTCTGCCTCTCCTGGGGTAGTTTTCTCAATTCTGAAAGCTGCCCTTTATTTCCAGAAGCCAAGGTCTCTAAGGTCATCCAGGGGATCTATGTGGGAAGAACAGAAGCCAGGAACGTTCCTTCCCCTTTCTTAGTTCCCTTCCTATTTGTTTAATAAGGAAATGTAAGCTTGAAAAAATCCCACACTTCTGAGTGTAGGGGCATGTTGGAGAAACTTCAGGAATTTACTCTGCCTCAGCTAAGTGCTCTTCATCTATAAAACTCTATACTTGTACAAGAGAAACACAACACAAGCCACATACGTAATTTCTAATTTTTGAGTAGTCACATTGAAAAAAAAAAGACCCAGGTGAAATGAATTGATAATATAGTGTAAAAACTCAATATAGCTAAAATATCACTTTGACATACAACCAATATAAACACATTAAAAGATGTTTTACTTTTTTGTGCCAAGTCTCTGAAGTCTGACATGTCTGTACCAATGGCATACCTCAATTCAGACTAGTTAGTTACCTTTCTAGAGCTCAGTAGCCACACAAGTGGTGGCAACTGGGCTGTGCAGATCCCAGGTTCGATCCCCAGTCAAGGGCATATACGTGGGTTGCAGGTTTGATCCCCAGCCCCGGTGGGAGTCATACAGGAGGTAACCAATCGAAGTATCTTTCTTACAGTGATGTTTCTCTCTCTCCCCCTCCCTCCCAGTCTATCTAAAAAAAAAAAAAAATCAATGGAAAAATATCCTCGGTGAGGATTAACAACAACAAAAAAATAAAACGATAAAGAAATATACACCGTGAAACTCTATTTGGCATGCTCACCCCATTTTTGCAGCATTCCTATACCCCCAATAGTCAGGTATAAGAAGACCTCTGCTCCAAAGTTTGACAAAATGCAAATGTCAAGACTCAATCAAAAGCTATTACTGTATTATTAGTAGTAAACCACTAATAGGATGATCAAGAAAGGAATGAGGCCCTGGCTGGTTTGGCTCAGCGGCTGGAGCATCGGCCTGTGGACCAGAAAGTCCCGGGTTCGTTTCCCACTAGGGGCATGTACCAAAAAAAAAAAAGAAAAAGAAGAAAAGAATGAGGCTGTAAAAGAAGAAAAGATAACATTTACTGTATCTCATCAAACCTGAGATGCCATCAATTGTGAGGCTCAGCCTGACTGCAGACAGGTTAAGCAGCAGGATTTCATGCTTACTGTGTGCTGGCCACCAAGGACTTTACTCATTTACTAACTTACCAAGTCCTCCAACAACTCTCTGAGGCATGCAGTACTACTATCCCCACTTACAGTTTACACAGAAATTGAGGCCTAGGGAGGTTTAGTATAACCCATCCAAGTGCAAAACCAGGGTTCGAACTCAAGCAGCTGGCTCCTGAGTCCCTTCTCTTCACTACCATGTTCCACTGGCTTTCACTGAGAACAGACCGAGTCAGAGAAGACCCTCCCCTTGGGTGACTCCCGAGAGCTCTTCCAAAGAAAAGAAAGCATTGTTCTTTCTTTTCCATCTCCAGGTGTACTGACTATAAGTTGTCACACCCTTTCCAGAGGAAAAGGCCAGGGATCCCTGGAGAACTCCTGATCATTCCTGCTGAGATGGGCACTGAAAGAGGATGGTATCATTTCTAGGTACTTCCCCCCCCCCCCTTGGTATTTGCGTTGGGAATGCCTCACACTGGAAGGCAGATGTCATTTCTAGAAGGCCATGGGGGCTCTGCCACATGATACCGATCTGTCAGGCCAGATCAGGAAGGCTAAGAGACACAATTCTGGCCAGCAGTCTTCTCAGATTCTGGAACCAGATCCCAGGCTCTAGATGGCATCTAAAAGCACAAAGGACTCATTTCAGCTCCTTTCTTGTTTTCGTTTTTTTTTTTTTTTTTTAACTTTAATGGGAAAGAAAGTCATTATTTATTTCTTTTCTTTTTTTTTATTTATTTTATTTATTTTTATTTTATTTTTTTATTTTTTATCCTCACCCGAGGACATTTTTCCTTTTTTTTTTTGTTCAGGTAGAGTGGGAGGGAGAGAGAGGAAGAGAGAGAGAGAGAGAAACATCAACGTGAAGGGACATATCGAGTGGCTGCCACCCGCACGACCAACCAGGGCCAGGGACAAACTGCAACCGAGGTACATGCCCTTAGCGGGAACCGAACCCGGGTCTCTCTGTACTGCAGGCCGACGCTCCAACTGCTGAGCCAAACCGGCCAGGGCTATTTATTTATTTTCTTTACTGATTTTAGAGAGGAAGAGAGAGATGGAAACACTGATGAGAGAGAACATCGAATGGCCGCCTCCTGCATGCGCCCACTGGGGATCGGGCCCACAACCTGGGTATGTGCCCTGACTGGGAATCAAACCAGCAACCTCTTGGTGATGGGTCGACGCTCAACCACTGAGCCACACCGGCCGGGCGAAGCCACTCACTCTGGCAGGTTGCCTGTAGAATGGACTAACTTCTCCTTTGCCTTCAAACTTCTATGAAAGAGGCACAAGTTTCTCAGTGACCTGTCACAATGAAGACCCCTAAAACAGAGACCATGTGATTTCATCTCAAGACAACATTTGAGGGGGTCCAGAAGGCAACCCTGAGCAAGGAGAAGTACACAGAGAAAGGGTAGTTGGAGGGGTTAAGTTTCTCTTTCATTTGAGAGGATAAAACGCTCTGAAAACATGGGTCCTACTGGCCAACTGCAAACATGGACACAGGTCCTGGCCTGGTGCCAGCGCCACAAGCAAGAGGCAGATGGCACATCTCACCAACATTGACCATAAAGCCCAGAAAAAGCTCTATAGTTTCATTTTGGTTAGCAGGCACAAGGGTACTAATAAATTTTATGAATGCTCGAAGTCTCTTCTGGAATGCCTAGTTTCTAGAATGTTCTTAAAAATGCACTTGGAGTTTAAATTCTTCTGCCTTCCCTCTTTTGTTTTATGAAGCAACTGTTTGAATACATCCTATGAGAAAGGACATTGCTAACATTCCTCATGGCAGGTGTGACTCTTCAGAGCTGTGGCTTGTGACAATGAACCAGAACTCGGGTGCTTTACAGCAGAAACTGAGAAACTCACCTATCCTAACCCTTCCTCTAGCTGAATGTTCTCGAATCGTCTCTTGGGGGTTGACAAAGAAGGCAGGGCTGACGACTTTAAAGGAAACACATGGTATTTACTATAGCTCCAAAGTACTCACTCTTCCTGGTAATATTTGCACACAAGAACTGGTGTCACCTTAAGCCTATACACTGACTGAAGGCTCCTCACTGGGGAAGGTGACTCTCCCAGACTATGAAGTCCTAGAGAGACAAAGTTCTGGAAGCAGGACAGGAACAGGTGCCAGAATGGTGGCTGCCAAGATGCCAGGGACTCCTGCTTTAGGAAATTAGAGGTACCACCTCACACACCTGCCAGAGAGACGGGACATGAACCAATTTCTAAAACCTCGGGGCCATGTTCATAAGCAGAATGGTTAAAAAGGACTTTAATGAGGAAAAACAGATATCCACCAAAGAATTGCACTGCACAAGAAGCAGAGAAAGCTCCAGGATTTGACAGAAAAGATGTGGTCATTCTGCCCTGAGAATATCTTACCACAGGAGGAGGAAGTCAGGGGAGGGAAGCGTTCCCCACTCAACCTCCAGGTTGCAAATCACGCCCCCTCACCTTCTGGTAGTAGTAGCTGTTATTAGTAAGCAGCTATAGGGTCAGCCATCGGGTTGCATGAAACCTGCTTGGCTCCTCAGACAACCACAAAATCCCGTTCAGTCTGCCGTCCTCTCTCCTCTTTGTTCCCTATCACCCACTCACTGGTCCTCACTGAGATGAGATGCTCTGCTCACACGTACCCCCCTGATGTCAAGTTCAGCCTCCTTGGGGTCTCAAGCTGGAAGGTGGCAGGGGCAGATGGAGTAAACCCTCCCAGCTGACTCTAGGGCCACCTCGTTGACTACAGTGGCCCAAATGGAGTATTTACCACCAGAAGGTTCTATCTGATCCCTACCCTGAGCTTCCTACCCCTGAAAGGGGCTGCATGGCCACTTTCTGGGAAGACAGCCAGGAAGACCTATGAGATTCTCTAGCAGAGCAGTTGGAGCTACCCATCAAAGCTTCCTGCCCAATCAGTGGTACAGTTGTAACAGTAGAGACCTGACTATGTAAAACCCAGGCCTCCCACAGGATGAAAGGCAATAATGCACATGAGCGCCCACTACTGTCTGACATACAGCAGTGCTACCGCAAGAGTAATACAGTCATTACCACAAAGCCCCGACGCCCTGCCTCCCTGCCCTGACTGACAGGGTCTCACGGAGCAACTCCCAGACTGGCCCATGGAGGGACACCTCATAGCTGCCAGGAAGATCATGGGGCTTTGCTCACTTCTCAGCCTCATATTATGCAGCCTTTAGGATCAAGCCCACCTAGAATCCTGGGGTGTCCCCTGTGCCCACCTGCAGTTCAGGTATGAGAGGCATGGCTGGTGGCCAAGAAGCACACCCAAGCCTGGTCATGGAGAGGGCTGCAGAGGGGCCCACACCTTCATACTTGAAGGGTAGGTCTTGGTTTTTACCTACAACCTTCGAATTGTTCAGATACATGAAAGTGAAAGAGACTAAAATGTGTAGATAAGGGAGAGCTTGAGAGACCTTACTCAGGGTTAGAAAAGGGAAAGTTTCCTAAAGACAGCTGAAGGGGACACTAAATCAGTATCCATGAAGTTGTTTTTGGCCAAATCAATGTGGACAATCCATCCACACCTGCAGAAAGGTATTTGCAAATCACTCCTTTTCTACAATCAGGAAGGCAGCAGCTTGTCAGTGATCTTAACAATGATGACCTGGAAACATCACAGACATGGCTAATTTGACATTACAGGCATCCTATGTTTCATCCACTCTTCACAGGTGTTGTGTTTTTTACAATCGAAGGCAAGACCCTCCACCAGCAAAAATATTAGGGCTCGCTTTATTGCGGTGGTCTGGAACCGAACCCACAGTATCTCTGAGGTGTGCCTGTATATGAAGACAATAGCGTCCAAGTAGCTGAACACTAATTTCTTTTTTAAAATCCTCACCCCAGAATACGTTTCCATTTATCTTCAGATAGAGTGGGGAGGGTGGAGAGAAACATCAATGTGAGAGGCACATCAACTGGTTGCCTCCTGCACGACCCCGACCTCCGCAACTGAGGTTATGTGCCCTTGACCGGAATCAAACCACTGATGCTTTGGTCCGCAAGGAGACACTCTAACCACTGAGCCAAACCAGGCAGGGCTGGAAACTAGTTCTTTCGACACTTTTTTCGTTTCTATCCAAAAGTTTGGACATACTACAAAGCCAGAGCCCATAAAAATGATCTGGAGAGTTAAAGAGCTGGTGATTGGAGCCTAGTGGACATATCTCCCCAACTGGGGACCTACCAGGAAAACGAGTGGTTTGCTGTCTGTAGCAGTGTCACCCTCTGAATGACAACCTTTAAATGACATTTCAAGAGGTTACTCTGCCCTGGCAGGTTTGGCTAAGGAATTAGAGTGTCGCCTGTGGACCAAGGAGTTGCGGGTTTGATTCCAGCCAAGGGAATGTACCTTGGTTGGTCGCCCTGGTCAGGGTCGCAGAGGAGGCAACCAATTGATGTGTCTCTCTCACACTGATGTTTCTCTCTCTTCTTCCCACTCTATTTGAAAATAAATGGAGAAATGTCCTCGGGTGAGGATAAAAAAGAAAACACACGCAACAAAAGGTAATTCAGAGCTGCAAAGCCATCATCTTCTTTAAAAGGGCACTTAGAGGTATCACTGCCCCCATTGGGCTGAGACCCTCTCCCAGAGGCTTCCATAACCCCTCACCCCTTTTCTAAGGGAAAGCAAAGGCCTTCGGGTCCCCTCCGCAATTCCCGGACGTTACCTCGCTTGAACTCCTCCAAAACGGCGTCCAGCTTGGTGTCGTTGAAGACAAAGTGGAGCGGGTGGTTGTAGAAGCGGGTGATGGTGCTGAGCGGCGTGCAGTCCTCAGGGTCCACGAAGGCCAAGTCCTTGAGGTAGAGCATGTCCACGATGTTGGAGCGCTCCTCCTCGTACACGGGGATGCGCGTGTGGCCACTCTGCATGATGCTGGCCAGGACGCCAAAGTCCAGCACGGTGCTGGCGTCTAGCATGAAGCAGTCCTCAAGCGGCGTGAGCACCTCCTCCACTGTCCGGTAGCGCAGCACCCCCTTGCTGAGGTCGCTGTAGGGGTCGCCACTGCCTCGTGCCAGCTCCAGCACGCGCTCGCGAAGCCGCCCTGGTCGCGCCGCAAGCTCCAGCAGCTGACCCACCGGCAAGGCCACGGGAAGGGTGAGCAGCACCGCCAGGCGGCTGAGCACCAGAGCGCGTGGGGCCAGCGCTAGCGTCCAGCGTCCGCTCACGGCAGCTGGCAGCACCTCGGCCACCACAAACGCGAGTCCCGCGCTGCCCAGCACGGCAGGCAAGGCGCGCTGGCCGGCCGCGCGGTACAGCAGCACCGCCAGCGCCGCCTGTGCCAGGCTGGCTAGCAGCAGCAGCGCGCCAAGGGCACAGCTGGCCCAGCGCCGCGCCGGCTCCAGGCGCCGCGCCGCCGCGCGCTCCGCCTCCGACCCGTTCTCGCGCAGCACCTGCACCTCAGCCGGTGCCAGCACCAGCGCGGTCAGCTGCAGGCCCCGTGCCAGTGCTGCCAGCGCCAGCAGCCCCGCCGCCCCCAGGCCAAGCGCCCAGGGCGGCCCCGCCTCCTGGAACACCGCCCCGACGCTCGGCTCCGTGCGCACGGCCTCGGCGCGCAGGCGCAGCAGCGCACGCCACTCGCCCGCGGGTGCCGCCGCCGCCGCCGCCGTCTTCTCGTCTGCCGCGCCGCCCGGCTCTCCGCGCACTGCCAGCAGCGCCGAGTGCGGGTGCTCGGTTTCCGCACGCAAACGCAGTAGCGTGCGCCACTCGCCTGTCAGGGTCGCCGCGGCCGGCCCACCCTCGGGGCAGCCCGCCCCCTCGGGAGCCGCCCAGGACCAAGAGCTGTTGGCGAAGCCCGAGCCGAAGAGGCGCAAACGGAAGGTGGCCTCAGGCGCGGCCGGCACCTCCCCTCCACGCGCCCACGCCGCGCCCGCGGCCCCGGCCTGTTCCAGGCAGATGCCTAGCACTCGCGGGCCCTGCGCCGCCTCTTCGGCGGCGTGGCCCAGGTAGAGCCCTGCCAGCAGCCAGCCCAGCCACCCTGCTGCCGCCGCTGCTGCCGCCATCGCCCGCTGCCCCTCTCGGCTCCCGCGCAGCCTACCTCTGCTTCCGCCGGCCAATCGGCGCCGGCCTCGCGCCCCCTCTACCAATGGGAAACACACAGGGGCGGGCCCAGCGGGCTAGGCTGCGCCGGGGCGTAAACAAGCGGCGCGGGCCGGGGCGGGGCTGGCGTCCCCAGGGGTGGGCGTGGCGCTCAGGGCGGCTGTTCGCCCGCCAAAGGTTGGCTCGCGCTCTGAAGAGTTCCAGCCGGGCGGGCGGCCGCGGGCGTGGGGAGGTCACGGTGTAGTGTCGCTTTCTGAGGAAAGGGCCTGGGAACTGCCGACTAGAAGCAAGGAGGGCGAAAGGAGAGCCGGGACTGGGCTCCGGGAAGCTAAGGTTCGGGAAGATGCTTGTTAATGGCTTCCGACCGCACTGTAGTCTGAGGACTGAGACGCAGGTCTTGGAGTAAAGGATAGAAACACACGAGATCATTACACCCTGGGACCCTCACCGCTACTTCATGTTATTTTCCAGGCGAAAAGTGAAGCATGACTGGGCGTGGATATTGGGTTCCGACGCCAGCTACCTAATACCGCGTCACCACCCAGCCACGTTCGGAGACGGCGGCTCTGTCGGAGTGCCTCGACCTGTCGCTCCACCTCCACTTCTTCCTCGGTCTCGGGCTTCCTGGAGAGGACCTGTCACTCATTTTGTTCAAAAACCTTTGAACAGGCACTTGGAAATATTTGGATACACACTTTGGAGAGCACAAATGGTCATTTTAACTGTCAATATCCAAAGATAAAGAATCCAGCACAGCCCTGGCCGGGTTGTTCAGTGGGCGGGAGCGTCCTGTACATCAAAAGGTCCAGGGTTCGAGTCCCAGAGAGGGCACATACCTAGGTTGTGGGTTCAATTGCCAGCCGCACCTAAGGGAGGCAACCAATCAATGTTTCTCTGGCACATCTATATTTCTCTTTCCCTTACCCTCTCTTAAAAAACACATCCTCAGGTGAGGATTAAAATATATATATACATTTATCAGCCCTGGCTGGTTTGGCTCAGCTTTGGCTCAGTGGTTAAAGTGTCAGTCGGGGGGGACCAAAGAGTCTCCAGTACAATTCTGGTCAAGGACATGTACCTGAGTTGCAGTTCCAATGCTGGCCCTGGTTGGGGTCGTGCAGTTGGCAACCAAACCATGTGTGTCTCTCACATGGACTTTCTCTCTATATCTCTCCCTCCCTCCCTCCCTTCCACTCTGTCTGAAAATCAATGGAAAAATATCCTCAGGTGAGGATTTAAAAAAATACATGTATATAATGGAGTACTATGCAGCTGTAAGAAAGAAAGATCTCTTATCCTTTGAGACAACATGGAGGACCTGGAAAGTATTATCCTAAGCAAAACAAGCCAAGCAGAGAAAGATGAATACACATGATCTCACCTATTTGTGGAATATAATGAACATAACAGCCTGAGGAATAGGGTAGACCCAGAGACGTGGAAGTAGGGTACAGACTGACAACCCTCAGCAGAGGGAGAGGTGTGGGGAGGGAAGCGATAAACCACAGAACTTAAATGCATGTACGCATAACCAATGGACATGAGCAACAAAGCTGGGAATGGGGGGGGGGGGTGTCAATGGGGAAAAAAAGGAGAAACACCTGTAACAAAAATAATAAAAATGAAAAAAATAAAATGGAAAGAAAAAATAAAATTAAAGAAAAAAAATGTGTATAAATATAGATATATGTAGATATATAGAAATGGATATCAGCCCCACCAGTGCAGCTCAGTGGATTGAGCATAGTCCTGCAGCCTGAGAGACGGAGGTTGTATTCCCAGTTAGGGCACATGCCCAGGTTGTGGGCTCAATCCCCAGTAGGGGGAGTACAGGAGGCAGCTGATCAATGTTTCTTTCATAGATGTTTCTCTCTGTCTCTAAAAAAAAGTATATACTTTTTATTGACTCACATTTTAAAATAGATGTATCAGTCCTAGCTGGTGTGGCTCAGTGGTTAGAGGGTTGACCCAGGCACCAAAGGGTCATGGGTTCAATTCCTGGTGGGTGATGCAGCAGGCACCTGGGTTGCAGGTTGGATCCTGGCCCCCAGTGGGAGTGCAGGTGGGAGGCAATCAGTTGACATCGATGTTTCTCTCTCCCTCCCTCCTACTCTTTAAAAAAGAAAATCAATTGAAAAAATATCCTCGGGCGAGGATTAACAAAAAATATATATATCAAGCAGTTTATATTTATAGAGTTCTTACTATTCTTATTTAAAAAAAAAAAAAAGAATCCAGCACAGGGCAAAGCTGCTCACAGAGTACTTTTCTGTTAACAGTAGAGGCCTCAACTGTACTTCACGTCCCTCATTGACCTTCCCTGGGCCATTTCCTTACTGGTCATTTGGTTCAAGACCTTTCCATGTTTTACCCAAGTATTTTGAGTTTTAAATTAAAAAAAAAAATTTTTTTTCTTTATTGATTTTCTCAGAGAGGAAGGGAGAGGGAGAGAAACATGGATGAGAGAGAACATCAATTGGCCACCTCCTGAATGCCCCCCACTGGAGATTTTGCCCACAACCTGGGCAAGTGCCCTGACTGGGAATTCAACTGGCAACCTCTTGGTTCATGGGTTGATACTCAACCACCGAGCCACACTGGCCTGGTCAAATACTTGAGTTTTAAACAAACGCATAGCTACTGTGACTTCACTAATTCCTGCTTATTTCTGGTCTGCAAATGTTACTTTCTCCAGCTGGTCTGCCTCTACCATCTGACTAGGTTAAGTCAAGGTTATGAGAGCTACATGCTCCTCCCCAAGGGCAGCCAGTATTTACCTATGGTGGGAAGTTCATTCATTCAAGTATTTCCTGTATTGAGTGCCTGCAATGTATCAGGCCCTGTTCTAGTGCTGGGACTACATGGAAATAAGAAAGTCTCTGCTCTTCTGAAGCTTAGGTTCTAGTATGGGGACAATAGGGAATGCATAAATTGTATTTTAATATCTGGTAGTAAGTGCTATGGAGAAAAGACAAGAGGAGACAGGCATTGGGACCTTGCTGTTTTATGTGGGGTGATCTAGGAAGGCACTTCCAAGGAGGTAACATTTGAATAGGCCTACACCAAGCAAGGAGGTGAATCGCTGCGGGCAGAATGTTCCAGGCAGAGGAGACAGCAAATCCAAGGGTCCTTATGTGACTATCTCCCTGAAGGGGTCTTCCTCACTAAACTCACTGTGGGGTTGGTGGCATCTGGCGTGCAGCAGAGGCTTTAACGTGCAAGAGATGGATGGATGACATTTACGCTTCCCACCTCCATACAACTTTTTGCACTTATTTCCTTTATCTGGAATGTCCCCTCTGCCTACCCAAGTGTCACCCTTCCGTTAAACAGCCCCCTCCCCACTCCCTGACTTGGCAGCTCTGTTAAGCCTGCTTTGCTTGAGCCCCTGGCCTCAGCACAATCACATGCCATGGCCACGGCACCTATGGGCTCTGGAGTAGATGCAGTGAGGTCACTCAGGTGGGCTCCTTGGGGATGAGCACTCCCACTTTGAGACCAGGAGGCAGCTGCTCATTATAAAATAATATGATCCTATTTTTGGATCAAGCTCCTTTCTCCTTCAACCCCCAGGGGAGGGCGGGGGCAACCAGCACATTCCAACTGCCCCCTCCAGCACCTACAGGTAGAAGATCCTGTAGTGTCCATTTTATAGGACTCCTAGTTGGGGCAACTGAGCACATTTGTTATGTATGTCTAACATCTCTTGTGAGGACAGCCTTGATTATATATATTTTGTAAATTACATTTCTGCTTCCTGTTTACTGCTAAACAGTCCCAGAATACTTGCCCCTTGCCCTGACACAAATGACAGCCAGTTACAGTCACTTCTATTTCTATGACAGGTACTAAATATTGACTGAACTCAAATACGCAAATTGTAGACTCACCAATATTACACATTTCATTTTTTATTACCAATCAAAAATAAATTCCATATATTGTTTAGCAAATATTATCATTGTTTTGTGACAAAAGACACAAGAGTCATAACAACAAAACTCCCCGAGAGTCAAACTCATAACAATGCCAAAATAAATCACAAATATATACAAATTAAAATCTTATGCAAAATAAATACGAGTTACTTGCTATGATGGCTGTGACCTGCCTACCCATTTGGAGGCCATCTGCGATGGTCTCCCTTACACAGGAAGACATGCAGGAATGGGCCAGTTCCAGAGTAGAGCTCAGCCCAGGAACCAGAGGTTGGAATAGGAAGTGAAAAATTGCACTGGGAGGAGGAAGTCATCGGACCAGTAATATTTGGAAATAATTACGACCCTTTGCAAGAAGTGATTATAAATGGGGAAGGGGAGGGAGAGGTGGGGGAAGAGGGACCATCTGTTCATAGTAACTGTGTACAGAGAGGTAGCATGGAAGTGTGTGCACCCGCTTTTACTTCACACACACTTGGTTCAGGCCAGTGTGCTTGGCCCTGCCTGGTACTCGGGTCTCAAGAACACAGCTTTGCAAGCTTCCATGTGGACGCAGAAAGCAAGCTGTACCTGTAGAAAACTAATGGGTCTCCCCCCACCCCCCAGGGAACAAAGGTCCAGTGTCTTTTCTCCTTCTGGCTGAGAACCCATGGGTGTCACCACCTCTCTCCAAACTTTTAGGAATAAATTCTGTGACTGGCCAGGGGCAGGCATACTTGGTGCAAAACATTTCCTGGTCCCAAGACTTGGGGTTCTCTAGGCACCTGAAAAGCAGAGAACTTGAGGAAAGGAGTGAATAGATAATACTCAGGTGGAAGGCCTGCTGAGTCTCCCTTGCCTGATCTTGGGCCCCAGCAACCGTTCACCTGACAAAAGGGCCAACACGGACCTTGGTCCTGCAGCCTCCCCAGCAGTGGGAAGCCTGGAGCTGTGCAGCAGGGCCTGATTCAGCCCCAGGGAAAAGGTGCTGGGGCAGGATTTCCTGTGGATGTGGAGCTCTGTACCACCAGCTTCAGCACAGGCCTGATGACATCTCACACTAGGATTACAGACATGGGGGAAATGTGGCTGCCAGTTGTGTGCCTTTGAGGTGGAAACCTTTCCTGGGATCTGAAAGTGTACAAACAGGGTAGGTAAGGCTCAGCCACGGAGGAAACGGTTGGCTTCCTACACGTCCTCTGTTTTCAATCCCCAAGAGGCCTTGGGGCTTGGATTAGAAGTGGGGAGTCTGGAAAGCAGAGTTCAAGAGTCAGACTGGACTTTGGTTGTGGGGTGGGAAGGAGATAGTATTACTTGCTAACAATGCAGATACCCATGACCAGATTCCCTCCTGGAACCAAAAGGAGTATCACAGACAAGCCACCTTTAATGCAGATGCTGTCCAACCCAGAGGGAAGCCTTTGGTAAAAATGAGGGCCGCTTGGGGAGCAGGGTGAGCAATCTGAAAGGTGGGAGACCCTGCCTAACACATCAAAGCAGCCCCATTACAAGGGAACAGTTGTCCAAAGGGGCAGATATGAGGCAAACCAATGGGGATGAGGGTGAGAGTCCTCAGTGGCCCCATCTCACCAGGAGAACCCATCAGCAGAGTTCTCAGAAATTCCTGGATCCGGCGAGTGACAGAAACAGGGCTACTCCTCTCTAGCTGGGAGCATCATGTCCCTGATCACAATTCTCCAGAATCCCTCAGCCTCAGTGCACATGTCCAGGCAGTTGTTCTCAATGCTATTCAGTTCTTTGCTTCCTGGGAAGCGCTATCTTCCTCCCAAAAGAAAATCCTCCTCCAGCAGGCCACTGGGACCCATCTCTGGAGGACAAGGAGGAGGAAGAGTGGGCTCCCTGAGTCAGGGACCGAGCCAGAAGGTCGTGGCTGGGAGCAGATTATGGCTATTGCTTCCCGGGGTGAGAAACCCTACCCCTTTCAAAGTTTTTATGGAAAAAAAATTTTTTTTAAATAAAGTTCCTTAACTCTGTCTTCCCTTCCCCATTCCCTTCCTCAAATGATATTTCAAAAGAGGAGCAATAAGCCTAGTTTAGAAAGTCTCCAGTAAGAAAACAGCCTTGCTTGTGGTAGTTGCCCACCACCCCAGAGTCCAGGGCTGGGCAGCCACCATTTCCCAGCTGCTCGCCGGTCCCTGTCAAAGGCCAGCTTCCCTGCAGCCTGGGGGGCCACCTGGCTGCTCAGTAAGACAGTCTGTTTGCAGCCCATCTGGCCTGATAGGCTCCTTCTCTTCAGGTGGGCCCACTGGGGCGGCCCCCGCGGAGCTGGCGGGGGGCCCCGGGCCCTCCTGTCAGATGGCGCTCTCAGGGGAAGCTTTGCGCAATGTAGCATTGCGTTCGTTGAGGAGAGTTGTGGTCTCATCCACCACAGACAGCTCAGGCTTCTCCGCCAAGCTCTCCGTACAGATGTTGCACCCATCCAGGGGAAACTGAGGGCAGTTCTCCATCCGTGAGGCCAGCAGCCCATTCTGGTACTGTTGCCGGGTGATCTGCAAGAGGGAGGAAAGAGGGTCACTAAGAGCAGGAGCTGGGAGGCCAATCCTACCAGTGACCTGAGGAAGCAGGACAGGCAGGACAGGGGCTGTACTCCAGAAGCGAGGATATAAGCAGGGAGAGTCTTCAGAAACCCGTCAAAAGAATAAGCAGCAAAAGTAAGGAGGACACTCGTGTCAGGCCTGTGTTCTGGGTGGTAGAGGAAAGAAAGAGTTGATGATTCCTGAGGCAGTGATCCAAACACCTAGACCGAGGCCGCAGGAAGCACTCACCTTAATGTACTGAAGGTCCATGAGTGCCCGGACACTGAAGTCAGAGATGTACTGGCCTAACGGGTTGCTGCCACCAGCCAAGGGGACTGTGCTCGGGATATCTGTGCGGTCCGGGTAACTGAGGGAGGCCGAGCGGCTCAGGGAGGTGGGGTGCGATGGGGAGCGGTCTGTGGGAAGAGAGAGGCTATCAGGCCCCAAGCCACCCTGGACTGTGGTGCCCTCACAGCCTTTTGTCTAACCTTGTTCTATGGACGCCCAGGAGATGCTGCCCCCACCGGGAATAGGAACACTTCTTAAGGACAATCAGAAGCCCCTACTGCAGAAGCTCTAACCTCATCAAAGCACACGAGTTAGTTTGTTTAGCAGTGTTGTGCAGTAACTATTAAAAAGTCTAACAAAACAAAACAGAAAACAAAAACCAAAGACTCAGAAAGTTTATGGCTACAAAACCCAAACAAGTGAGCAGTCAAGGGCAGCACGATGGTTACCCTTGTGTGGCAGCCGCTCTCCTGGTCTCAGTACTAGCTCATGTCAATGGACAAAAACCGCATACCTTTAAATTACATTAAAAGAAAGATTACACAGTTTGCACTCTCATCGCTCGCTCTCTCTCTCTCTCTCTCTCTCTCACACACACACATGCACACGCACACACACACCCCTCAACATAACACCCTGCTCATAACTAAAAGTGCTCTTAAGAGGTCAAACATTTGTTCTGCAAATGACCTGTTCTGTGTGGACAGTCCTACCCACTGGTGTCTGCTGAGCTTCAGCCAGCCTAATAGGGTTCTGGGGGCAGCATGTTCCTTTCCCAGGAATTAGAGGCCCCAGAACTCCAGGCTTCCCATTCCCAGCTAGTCCAAGTCCTCTCTCCTCAGAGGCAAAGCCAGGACAGTGTTGGCAGTGCCTCTCCCCGCCACCAGGGGCAGCACAGGCCTCATTCCTTTGTAACCAGGGAAGCAGGATGACTCAACTACAAACCAGGAAGGAACACACTCCTTATTTTGAAAAAGAAACTGCACACATTATTGTGTATCATTAACTCTTGTTTTTGTAAATACTTAGAAAACAATGAAATCCACAAAGAAGTTAATTGTGAAGGCATGCTGGCTTCTTTCAAACAAACAGGAAGTAGACTAAGCTGATATATTTAGTTAAGTACTAAGTTACTAACTACCAAGTTAGTTGTCCTAACAAATAGCTCAGTGAAGAGAGTAAACATCGGGTGACTTAATGACCAATGGAACTTTAACTAAGTGAGGCTGAATCATCTTTGAGCTTCAGTCAGAAAACAAGGAAAATACAGTCTGGATATTTATGATTGCGTAGTGTACAATCACTGGTGGATCATGTGCCTGTATCATTTATTCTAAACTAAACACCTCGGATTAAGTTCTGGAAGAAAACAAATACTGGGGATATCAATATTTCACATTCACTGGAGCACCTGAGGTCTTGCTTCCTGAAGGCCACTGTCATCAGTTTAGTTCAAATAAACTCATAAAATTTTTTTTTTAAATTTCACCTTAATTATTTGGATCATAGAATGCTTTTAATTAATGCTTATTAACATGCCAGAACAGGAAATGAATTTAAAACCAACACAGATTGGTGACATGGCCTATTAAAAATAGAGGCCCTAGCCCTGGCCGGTTTGGCTCAGCGGTTAGAGCGTCGGCCTGCGGTCCTGAGAGACCCGGGTTCGGTTCCCGCTAAGGGCACGTACCTTGGTTGCAGTTTGTCCCCGGCCCTGGTCGGTTGTGCGGGTGGCAGCCACTCGATGTGTTCCTTTCACATCGATGTTTCTCTCTCTCTGTTCCTCTCTCTCCCTCCCACTCTACCTGAACAAAAAATGGAAAAATATCCTCGGGTGAGGATAAAAAAAAAAAAATAAAAAAAATAAAAATAGAGGCCCTAGCCCTGGCTGGTGTTGCTCAGTGGTTAGAACGTCAGTCGGCACACCAAAGGTTCTCGGGTTTGATACCTGGACAAGGTCATACCTGGGTTGCAGGTTCGATCCCTGGCCTTGGTCAGGGCATGTGCAGGAGGCAACAGATCAATGTGTCTGTCTCATGTCGATGTTTTTCACTCTTTCTCTCTCTCCCCCACTCCCTCCCTCTCTCCCTTCTACTCTAACAATCAACAGAAAAAATATCCTCTAGTGAGTATTAACAAAAATATTTAAAAATTGAGGCCCTAAAAAGAAAATACAACAAAATATGAAGCATTTGTTTCTGAATAATGAAATTATAAGGCTTCCTAATTTTCTTAAGACTCTTTTCTATTTTTCCAATAAGCTGTGTTTCTTTTGTGATTAAAACAATATATGTAAACAAAAGAAGGGATCTTTAATTTGGTAACTCCATTTCTAAAAAATATTCTAAGGACAACCTCAAACACAGAAAATACTTTCCTAAAAAGGCTCACACCATGGTACCATTCAGCACACAGACCCCATGAACATGCGCAGGGGTTGCAGGTGAAAGCACATCTGCCTGTGGGCTCCGTCGGCTCTAACTAGGAAGCTGACGGACAAGCGCCTCTGGTCCCATACTACGTAAAAACATCAACATTCAAGCCATGTATTCACAGCTCCTGGTGAGATGTGAGACAAGAAAGTGCAGAAGAGGAAGAGGGAGACTGGTCAGTGAAGGCCAATGGTCCATCTGTTCTCATCAGACACCCCTGCTTAAAGGCCATCACCGGCTTCCTGCTTCTCATCACAGCCAAAAGTTGGTTGTGTCTGAAAGGGACCAGTGACTTCTCAGTCACCTTTAACAGTGTTTACAAGAGGAGCAATAGTAAAGTGCGCTTTGGTACAGTTTAGAAGAAAAAACCAGACGCAGGAATATTAAGTGGGAAACAGTTGACAGCTGTGCTAAACTTTTAGGCCTGAGGGGGCTCAGGAGCTTCTCTAAGTTATGCACTGAGACTAGAGCTCGTCGCTCGTCATGCTCTTACCCTCCTTAGGCTCGCCAGGCCAGGCCAGGCTTCTGGGGATGAGGCCAGCATTCCCCACCACCTGCCGCCTTGGAACATGGGGGAAAGGGATCCTGCCAGTGCGTAGGAATGAGTCTGGCTAGCACAGTCCCCACCAGTCCTGGGACAGGGCTCAGGAGTGTAGCATACCAAAGGCCAGAACAGCATATGGTATTTGGCCTTTTCCTAAATATTCAGAATATCACATTTTAGTTGTAAAAGAGAAAAAACAAATAATAATTGTGCTCTAACTAAAGATTTATATCAATCGATTCCCTCCCTGGTCCCAAGAATTCTAAGAAGTGCACACATGAGGAGACCAGGACTCGGGGAGGGTAAATCAGCCACAGAATCATTTCACTAGTGGCTGTGGAGGCAGCACTCACACAGGACAGTCAGACTGGCTGCGCGGCTACCTGCCCAGCGACCTGCCCAGCCGCTGCCTGCCCCGGCAGGAAGACACGAGAACTCACACAATGAAAAGCAAAGCCTGTGAAGAAAGGTTGAATTTTTTCGAGAAAGCTGATAAGATGACAAATCTGTGAGCGGCTGATTAGGGGCTGAACAGTTGGGCTCATCTGGCCTGGCTGGAAGCAACCCTCCATCCCAGCCTATCATCTAAGTGTGTGTGCACGCGCGTGTGTGCGCGAGCATGTGCACACGTGCACATGCACATACCTTCTCAAAGACTGAAGAACCTTCAGAGAAGCCCTTCCAAGACCAGAGCAAAGCCACCCAGTAATTGAGCCCCAGGCCAAGCTGGCCCTCAAGTGTGAACAGGTAGGGAGCCCCAGTGCCTCCTGGGACAGGTTAATGCAGCTGCGGTGTGTGGGCTCAGACAACAGGTGGCAGTGCAAAGTCTCTAGCCATGCCATGTTACCTGAGAGCCAGGAGAGCAGGGAGTTCCGCTTGCCAGGCGGACACCCGACCTGGGTTGAACGCACTGGAGCAAAAGAGGAAAAGGTCAGTGGTGGGTGGGATACAGCACAGGAGGCAGGAGGCAGGACATGGAGCCACAGGAATGGGCTGGAGAAGCAGACTTGCTGTCCAGGGCAGTGAGGGAGCACAGTGGAAAAGGAGACATGGCTTTGATAGGGAGGGTGCTCGGAGCAGACCCATGAGCCCCGCTCAGAGAAGTGCAGTTGCTGACAGAATGGGTCCAGTGCTCCCACAGTGAATCCAGAGCCCCCAGAAATCCTTTCTCTTCCGGCCACTCCAAATGGGAACTGAGGGCCTCCAAGTCAAGGGACAGAGCCCAGGACCATGATCCAGCCTCTGAGGCATTGCTGCAGAGAGTGACTGGAGGAAATGTCCCCCGACTGTGCGTCCTTCTGAACAAGATTTCCCCAAGTTGGACAGCAAGAGGTGCACTCAGGAGGGGCAGAGAAGTCCTCCCCGGAGCTGCCAACTGTCCAAAACCCAGCTCTGGAGCCTGTCCCTCCTCTTCCCCTTTCCCCTCCCTCACAAGCTGGCTCATGCTTGCGGGAGCAGAGCTGTGTCAACAGGCATGGGTGCCCTGGTCCCTACACGGGGTCCTCTTTGTCAAAGGACAACAACAGGCACAGCCAAGGCTCCCAGGAGCTGCAGCACCCGCCTCACCTTGTAGCCTGTCCCCCAGCACCAAAGTGGACTTCCACTCTCCCACCCACGGCCACCTGGACCCCTCTCGAGGCTTGGAGGAGTCCCACAATGAGTGAGGAGCTGCACTGGTCCCTTTCGCAAAGAGCACCTGAGCCACCCAGGACTGTAGAAGCAGAGGACACTGGGGTCGCAAAGAGGCCCTTCCTTGGTCTTGCTATAACCTCACTTAGAGGTTGTCCAGTACCCTCTTTGCCCCCCAAGTCCCTTTATTTCATCACACCAGACCCTTAACCAAGAAGCAGCAGCTAAGCCCCAAGAAACCAAACCTGTCTGCAACCTGCCCTGGCCTGGCTCCCAACCTTGAGCACTTTGGATGCCCTCACCCCCATCTGTTGGTTCCCTTCTCCCAGTCTCCACAGGCAAGGCTCTGTAGCCTCCCTCCACATGCCTACTTTCCCAACTCTTCGCCTGCCGTGAGGGCAGGGAGGGCCACCATGGCCCGCTGGCCCAGTCTGCCATCGTACTCCCCTGCTCAAAGGCCATTAACAGCGTCCTGCTTCCTATCCCAACCAAACCCACAGACTTCTAGGGCTCCCAACTCATCCTCACTCCCAATCTCCCTCCCCTCTGGCAGGCTGGCATCCCACCACCTCAGGACACACTCTCAGCGCCCTCCAGGCCTTTGCTCAGAATCCCACCATCCCCCCACCCTGTCCTCTGAATACTGTCCAAAGGAACAAGTCACTCTGCTCTTCGGGCCACCTCCTCTAGGCCCCAGCCCTATCTGGTCTCCCGCTCCTCACACGACCTGGGTCAAGAGCTATCTAGATGCGGATGTTGGGGGCCACCCACTGGAGGGCAGCACAGGTGCAGCCCAGTGACTCACCAGAGGGGGACGAGGACAGGGCCATGGTCCCGTAGTATGAGAAGGCACCTGTCTCAAATTTCATGTTCTCCTTCCCAGCCTCCACCTCCACCTTGCCCTGAAAGAACACAGGGTTAGGGTTATAGAGTAAGAAGCAAGAAACAAACAAACAAGGCAAGAGGAAGACACGGGGGGTGACGGCTCTGTGAGCCCAAGGAAGAGCTCAGGGGCCCAGGCCTGAGGGCTGCAGGCGGCTGCTCGGAAGAGAATGGGCAATGCGAGCACGGCATGGAGCAGCACGGAGCAGCAGTGAGGAAAGCAGGGTGGCAGGCGCTCACCTGCAGGATGAGGATGAAGTAGTCGGCCGCCTTATTCCGGGTGTACAGATAGTGGTGGATATAGTGTTTGTTGTGCTCATCAAACTTGAGTTCCTGAATGACATCTGGGTACTTGAGCAGCCGAAGCAGGATCTTCTCTGATATCAGAGAGGGGCTAAACTGGGGGACCTCTGCAGGCGGAGAGAGGGGAACTTCACATTGGGACACAGTCACTGCAGCACAGGGACAGCTCCCTCACTGCCAGGCCCTTGCCTTTGGTTCTGAGGGAAGGGAGAGCCCTGGGCTCCAGACTGGTCAGACTGGAGTCTGTCTGCCTGTTGGGCTTGAATGGTAGCTCCTGCACCACCAGGGCATGACCTTGGGCAAGTTACTTAACCTGTATCTCAGTTTCCTCACCTGTAAAATGGGGATTAAACACTTCATAGAGTAGTTGAAAGTAGTTAAACGGACAATGCAGGTAAAGCACTTAGATACATTCTTGGCACATGGAAAGTGCTTGATGAATGTTATTATCATGATCATTACCAACATCATCCATACCGTGGCAGAAAGAATAAAGAAGGAATTACTGAAGTCAGACTGGGGGAGGGGGAGAGAGTAGGCAGTTATCTTTCCAATCCATGGCCCAGGTCCCCAAGGGAGCCGTGAATCGGGTGAGAAGAGATATGACGTTGATCTACAGGTCACGTCTCACAGTGAAGTCCAACACACGCAGGCAGAGGGGAGGTGGGAGAGACAAGAAAAGAGCTGGATGCAGGCTCCTCAGAGGGGATGAGCCAGGTAAGGGCCACGTACTGTACCTGGGCAGGCACACAGCATGTGCAAGGGCCTCCTTCTCCCTCCCACTCCATGAGCATCGATGGGCCCATCTCAGGTCCTCTCAGGGCTTATTTCAAAACTAACAATGCTTTCTAGAAGTCTGCAACAGGGCAAGCAAAGTGCAGGGCACGCCCAGGAATGTGGGAGCCGCATTGCCCATCAGAGGCAGAGTGCTTCCCTGCACTTGGCATCTGTGTAGCTTCGTCCATGAGGGGAGTAGCCAGGGGCCCAGTCCTTCTCCCTCTGTGCCTGTCCCACCAACAGTGAAGGCCCTCCTCTCGCTCTTACCCGTGGACAGAAAGCGGTGAGCAGCCAGAAGTAGCTGAGGTGAAATTTTCACCTTGAGTTCATTGTCAGTATCCTTGAAGGCTGAGAAGTCCCGTTTATTCTTCTCAGTTACCCGTTTCCGGCTTCGGTTGTCAGCTGCAAGAGAACAAATCGAGCTGAGCACCCTGTCCCACAGGGGACTCGGGGACAGGCTGGACCCCACAGCTCCCGCTCGGCAATCCCTCCCTGCATGCAGAAGCAGCAGTGCCTGGGCCAGAGCAGGTCCCTGAGAGGCCAAGGGGAACCAAGGCAGCCTCTGCTCTCTGCTCCAAGCGACATGCTCCCAGGTGGCCCCAGCCTGTGTCCCTGCACTGTGGCCTTCACACCCAGGACAGCAGATGTCAGGCCTGAGTGGGAAAGGGGCTCTGGGCCCGTGGGGAGGGTGGACTCACTGTACATATCTGACTCGTCCAGGATCTCAGATTTGATGATCTCTTCAATGACATCCTCCAGGGTGACCAGGCCCAGGACCTCGTAGAATGGGTCCCCTTCACCCTCATTGTTCACTTTCTGCACGATGGCCAGGTGGGATTTCCCTGGGGGACAATGCAATGAGTCAGACAAGAGCAAAGGAACCAATCATGAGACTCCTCCACCAAAATGTTAACACACTTGGTGTCATGAGTCACTGGGGTGGGGCCAGGGGTGGTTTTTTTCCCCTTTTCTGTATTTCCTTAAGTTTCTATAACAAATGGATACTATTTTTATAAAAAGGAAAATCAAAAGGTTTTTTGGTGGGGTTTTGTTGTTGTTGTTGTTAATCTTTACCCGAGTATATTTTTTCCACTGATTTTTTTTTAGATAGACCAGAAGGGAGGGAGGGAGAGAAACATTGATGTGAGAGAGATACATGGATTGGTTGCTTCCCAAATGACCCTGTCCGGGGCTGAGGAAACCTACAACCCAGGTATGTGCCCTTGACTGGGAATCGAACCCTTGACCCTTCGGTCCTCAGGCCAACACCCTAACTGCTGAGCCAAACCAGCCAGGGCCCAAAGTATTTTTTAATGTCAAGGCATTAAGGACCATTGGCTTAAATAGAATGGAAATGGCAAGGTCCTCCTTGGGAATGAAAGACCCACACTGATAACCTGTAGATAGAGAAGCCATATGTCATAGACAGGTGAGTACTAGCTGGACAAGGGGCTCCTTAGAGGGTGCCCACTTTCCATGGGGGTTCAAGGGCTATTCCCAATACTTCACCCAGCTTCTTGGCAGAGCTGCCCTGCAAGTACCCTGGAGCCATGACACCATCCAAGGCAAAGGCTCTGCATTCCCAAAGCCATTAACAAATTAGCCCAGTGTAATTAGGCCAGGCAGGCACTATAATTAGAGAAAGACCACCCTTTCAACCTAAAGCAAGAGAAAGTTAAAAGGGGGTTAGGGGAAAACCTTCCGCGGAAGCTTTGTGGGGTGACTGGGTTTCCCAGTCCCTTCTGGGTCCCCACCCTGCTGTTACACCGCTGACCCCAGTGTGTAACAGTAGGAGACAATGCACAAGGGCTTGGCCCATACTACAGGCTGAACAGACGGTGTGCCCCACACAGAGGGATACAGATTTGGAGCAACCTCAGGGAGAAAGCCCCGGGAGAACTGTGAAGGTCAAGTCAGGTCTCCTCACAGCTTCCCCTTCACAATCCAGTCTTAGGGCCTCACTCCAAGGACGTCCCTGGAGAGAACGTTTTCCAGATCTCTTAAGGCCACAGCAAATACCCCAACCCCAGCATGAACTCCTAGGAGCCTCTTAGGGAAAACAGAAATGCCAGTTCTCACAGCCAGCATTTGAAAAACCAAAGTAAGCCCTAGCAGTTAGAGCGTTGGCCTTTGGACCAAAGAGTTTCCGGTTCGAGTCTGGTCAAGGGCACATACCTCGACTGCAGTTTGGACCCTGATGGGAGGCAATCAATTGATGTGTCTCTCTCACATCGATATTTCCCTCTCTCTCTCCCTCTCACTCCCTCCCTCCCTCTCTCCCTTCTTTCCTCCCTCCCACTCTATCTGAAAATCAATGGAAAAATATCCTCTAGTGAGAATTTTAAAAAAAAGAAAAAGAAAGTAAAAAGTATCTGAGTACACCCATGTGACGGGGGGAATAGTATCCTATGAAACATTCTCACACACATAGTGTTGGTCACTACAAAACACTTATTTCCAGCTTGGAGTTGTGGTCAAAGCACTTTTTGCCCTTGCCAGTATGGCTCAGTAGATAGAGCACAGGCCCACACAATGAAGCGTCGAGGATTCGATTCCCAGTCAAGGGCACATGCCTGCATTGCGGGTTTGATCCCCAACCCCTTTTGGGGCGTGTGCAGGGGGCAACTGATCAATGTGTCTCTCACATTGATGTTCCCCACCCATGCACCCACCCAATGGAAAAAATATCCTCAGGTGAAGATTAACAAAAACAACAACAAAAAACAGTTTCAGTACCTTGCTAGACAGAACCATCATGGCTAGACTCAATTAAAGATTTCCCTGTGTCTTCCAGAGATGAGCCAACGAGAGCAAGATTTGCCAGGGTCCTCAAGCAGTAGCCAGTCAGGACCTGGAGCCTGCCCACTTTGCCCGGGGAGGGCTGCCCCTCCAGGAGAACCCTCTAGAGAAAAACAGGGCTCTGAGGGGCCTGGGGCAGCCAGCTTACTGTCACCAGACAGGAATCAGAGTTAAAGCAGGTAGATTTACCACATTCCAGACTGGCACACTCTAGAAGCCTGGTGATGCCCAGTGCTGGAGGAGACAGACAGGCCCTCACAGGCTCTCTGGTTGGTGGGCAGGAAAACGAGCACATTTCAGGAGGCCAATTTGGCAGTACGTCTCAAAACAAAGTGTCCCTAACCTAGGCCTCAGAAATTCCACTTGTAACTCATCCTATGGATGTAATGGTCACTAAAGCAGAAAGACACAAAAGCAAAGGGGGTCGTTAAAATATTTTTTCGGCGCCGCCACCGCCCTACAGAACGGGTGGGCTGCGCAGTTGGGTCCTCTCCCCTCAGAAGATTTGCTAAGGAGAAGCTGAAGCCAAGGAGCAGCCGCTGGTGCGGGTCCCCGGGGGCCAATGGCTACCAGAGCGAACGCCACGCCGCTGGACTTCCCAAGTAAGAAGTGGAAGAGCCGCTGGAACCAAGACACAATGGAACAGAAAACGGTGATTCCAGGAATGCCTACAGTCATCCCCCCTGAACGTACTCGGGAACAAGAAAGAGCTTCTTATACAGGTCCCCTTCCCCTGAGCCAATCTACACTCGTGAGGGCAAGTGGCTTAGCACCCGGGAGTTCCGCACTCACAGAAAGCTGGAAGAGGAGTGGCATAACCTCATCACAGAAATGGTTGCTCTCAACCCTGATTTCAAGCCACCTGCAGATTACAAACCTCCAGCAACACGTATGAGAGATAAAGTAATCATTCCACAAGATGAGTAACCAGAAATCAACTTTGTGGGGCTGCTAACTGGGCCAAGAGGAAACACACTGAAGAACATAGAGAAGGAGTGTAATGCCAAGATAATGATCCAGCGGAAAGGGTCTGTGAAAGAAGGGAAAGTTGGATGCAAAGATGGCCAGATGTTGCCAAGAGAAGATGAGCCACTTCATGCCCTAGTTATCGCCAATACTGTGGAGAATGTGAAGAAAGCAGTAGAACAAGGAAGAAACATACTGAAGCAGGGTATTGAGACCCCTGAGGACCAGAATGATCTACGGAAGATGCAACTTCAAGAGTTGGCTCGCTTGATGGGACCCTTCGGGAAGATGATAACAGGATCTTAAGACCCTGGCAGAGCTCAGAGACCCGTAGCATTACCAACACCACAGTGTGTACCAAGTGTGGAGGAGCTGGCCACATTGCTTCCGATGGCAAATTCCAAAGGCCTGGTGATCCCGTCAGCTCAGGATAAAGCACGATGGATCAAGAGTATTTGTTCCTCATGGCTGAACTGGGTGAAGCGCCATGCCAGCATCTGTGGGCTTCAGCTCTGGGCCTGCTAGCACACCTCTGGCCTGTGTACCTTGGTCTGCTGCTCCTGCCAACAACCCACCTCCACTGTCTCTCATGTCCACCACCCAGAGCCGCCCACCCTGGATGAATTCTGGCCCTTCAGAGTGTCGGCCCTACCATGGCATGCATGGAGGTGGTCCTGGTGGTCCTGGTGGCCACAGCTTCCCATACCCGTTACCCAGCCTGACAGGTGGGCATGGTGAACATCCCATGCAGCACAACCCTAATGGACCCCCACCCCCTTGGATGCAGCCTCCACCACCACCGATGAACTAGGGCCCCTACCCACCTGGGCACCATGGCCCTTCTCTAATGGATCAGTACCTGGGAAGTACTGGGCTCTGGGGTCTATTGCCTGCATTAAGGAAAAGGTATGATGCCGCCACCTATGGGCATGATGCCGCCCCCGCCCCCTTTCTGGTCCTCTTCCCCCATGGCAACAGTGGCAACAGCAGCCTCAACCACTCCTCCGCCCAGCAGCAGTATAGTTTCCAGTACCCCTTTGCCATGGCAGCAAAATACGACGACTACCACCTCGAGCACTGGCACAGGGTCCATCCCGCCATGGCAACAATAGTAGGTGGCTGCCGCAGCTTCTCCAGAAGCCCCTCAGATGCAAAGGCAACCCCACCATGGTGCCCCTGGCCCCCCCACCCCCCACCCCCCGCGTCCAGCCGCCTCCACCACCTGGTTCCATAGTATGCCCTGCCCCCCACCTCCCATGGACCCTTCTAACTTTATCACCATGGTGGGCATGGGGGTGGCAGGCATGCCACCCTTTGGGATGCCTCCAGCTCCCCCACCACCTCTACCACAGAACTAGACAGTTTTTTAAGAAAATATATATTATATATAGGGGAAAAAAAGAAAAAAACATTCTTTTCACAGCCAGAGACAATCTAAATCAATACCAGTGGAACAGGAGTGCCAAACAGGGGTTATTGCTGCCTGTGGAGCGACAGCAGGGCCGGAGGAATGATACGTGGGAGGAACCCGAGACAGGCCGTCAGCGGAAGAGTAAGTGATGGGACTGAATATATGGTGCCATCTGTCTGCATAGAAATAGGGGTGGTGTGGGGGGCCTTGAACTGTCTGGAAGAGGTAACAGTGGTCACCTTTGGGGGGGCTTTTGAAGTTGGGGGGCTATTATCACTTACTCTATACTCTTTCATATTGTCCTATTTGACGGGCATGTTTTACTTCAGGCTCAGCTTCAATAATTTGAGAAAAATGTTCCCCCATGAAACCTCCAATCAACCCACAGCCAAAAGTTACACTAGGCCTCCCCAGGAAAGGCTGTGGCTCCTCAAAAAGACAGAAATATCCCTCCTGTGAGTGAAATGAGCTGATTCCTTGAGCTGGATTAGGGTCTCGTTTCTGAGGCTCCTTTATCTGTGGACCCCACTGGTATTTGTGGCACTGTCTTAGTGGCAGCACCATCAAGATGAGTACCTTGTAGATATGCAGACCTGGGGCACTGCCCAGTCACTCATGCTCTGCACCCTAAAGAGCCTGACGCACTGGTGCTGACTGTGGCTGGTG